CGAACTCTATACAATTAGCTACTACACATATACACTCATAAGCCACAACATTAAAAACACTGACCAGTGCACATTGATGATATTGTTGCAATGGTACTTGTCAAGGGATGGGATATATTAGGCAGCAAGTGAATGGTCAGTTCTTGAAGTTCATGTTTTGGAAGCAGCAAAAATGGGCAAGTAAAAAAAATCTGGGTGACTTTGACAAGAGATGGCTAGACATAGACTGGTCAGAGTGCCCATGATAACCCCTGTTCACTGCCGAAAGCACTTTCAATGGGAATGTGAGCATCAGAAGTGGACCATGGAGCAATGGAAGATCATGTTTTCCTTTAGATAAGGTTGATGGCTGGGCATGTGTGCATCATTACCTAGTATGATATAGCAGCAGGATGTCCTATAGGAAGAAGGCAAGCCTTTAGAGGTAGTATTATGCTTTGGGCAGGGTTCTTCTGAAAAACCTTCTGTGCTGGCATTCATGTGGATGTTACTTTGACATGTACCACCTATCTTCAATTGTTACAGACAATGTACACTCCTTCATGTTCCCTGATGGCAGTGACTTCTTTCAGCAGGATAATGCGCCCTGCCACACTGCAAAAATAGTTCAGGAATGGTTTGAGGAACATGACAAAGAATTATTGGCCTCCTAATTTCCCAGATCTCAATCTGACTGAGCATCTGTGGGATGTGCTGGAACAGCAAATCCGATCTATGGAGGCCCCACCTCGCAACTTGCAGGACATTAGCAACAGATTCTTTAAGTCTTGCAAGTTGAGAAGTGGGATTTGAATTTGCTGTTCCAGAACAACCCACAGATGCTCAATCAGATTGAGATCTGGGGAATATGGAGGCCAGATAACACAGGACACATTCAGAGGCCTTATGGAGTCCATATCTCAATGCATCACAGCTGTTTTGCCAGCACGAGGAGGACCTACATGATACTAGCCAAGTGGTTTTAATGTTGTGGCTGATCAGTGTTGCATACAGGTAAAGGTCTGCTGGAAAGCTTCAAAAATCACATTAAACACAGTTAAAGCAATAAAATGAATACGTGAAGAAATTAAAAACAACCATTCAGTTTTCAAATGAAACAGCTGCTATCAAATCAAATTAAATGAAAATTAAAAGAAAACGCTATAAACGGCTGTTAATATCACTTTAATATAACTCTAAAAGAATAAAGGAAACCACATATCCTCAGTGTTTTAATTATTTCATAAGAATTTGTAATAAAGACTTATTTGCCCCATACCCAGAAAGAATTGTGCACTTTTTTTTACACAAAACAGATATTTAGAAGTTGATTAATTAAGTTGTACTCAGGGTATGACGGTTGCTTTTTATTTAATCAAGCTAAATTAGTTAATTAATTTCACTATGCGCATTTAACAATTTGCATTAAAACATTTTGCCCTTCAACAAAAACTCAGGAACCTTTGCCATTGGTGATTGCTGAAGTGCTTTATTTGTGAAGAGTGTGTCCTTGACCTTGTTACACCCCTGAGTGTCAATCAAAGTGTCAGTCCTGTTACTTCCTGGTTTGTTTATCTCAGTGGACCTAAACCCAAGAGGCAGCAATTGGCCAGAGTACCTGTCTTGCAAACACATCTCATTTCGTGGCATTGGGAAGTTTGTGACTGGACAGCCACAGAGTGTTTGGGTGGGGTTAGAAGGTAGGGGTTTGCAAAGGCTGTGGACAAGTTAATAGCAGCTTTAACATGCTATTTTTAGGTATACCCCCATTGAAAAAAATACATTATTACATTTATGTATGTTTTTATAGAGGTACAAGTAGTACCTCTAGAGGTTTTTTTTGTTTTTTTTTTAATTGCTGGTGTAGTGTCCTTCTATTGTTACAAGTATATTTACTTAGTCCATCTAATTCTGGTAGATATGAACTGTCACTTTCTATGCTGTTATGGGCAAATGCAAATATTACAAGTTTTAGAATGAAATGTTGTATTTCTTAAACTGTGTACTTTGTGTTTAAGAGATATTGTAAACTGACAAGGTGTTAGAAATGGAACATATTGTTTTTCATAACTGTTTCTTTAAGCAATAACCTCAGTGCATAATATGTTTGCGCCATTTTGTCCCAGACGAAATACAATAATGCATAAACAAGCTTCAAGGCTATGCTACGACTCTTTCAGTACACAATATACTGTGGTAACCTTAAGTAGATAAGGATGTCCAGACTTTAAGATGCCATCTTGAACGAAGTCAGGAAAATTTCCATGACGTATGCACCCTTTAGTTATGGCCTTGTATGTTTGCCAAGTTAATGGAGGTCCTAAAATGAATAAAGTAAAAAAGGTATTTTTTTATATATGAACTACGGTAACCCCAAAATGGAGACACCTAAGGTATAAATAGGTGTACTTTTAAATGTTAAGACACAGAGGAGAGATTTAGAGACAGACGCTGCTCCATCTTGAAATGACAGAGAGGCTGACATGATGACATGTTCAGAAGGGTATGTTAACCTATTAATGATATTTGCAAGCATGTAATTTAATCTTATAAACTCTGCTATAATGGATTTTATATTTTTATATAATAAATATCCAAAAGACAAAACTATTGCTTCCAAGACAATCCTTATATTGTATTTATATTGTATTCTCAATTATTTATATATGTTAAATAGAGGATCTCTTACTAACTATATAAAATTATGGCTAAGATATCTGTATGGTTAGCCCTACTAAGTTCTATGGTTTAAGACATTATAGTAGTAAATAAGGGAACCAGCCACGGTTACAATGCTTTTCTTTAAGGATCTTTGAATTTGTACAGAAAGTTTGTTTCCTCTTGTAATAAATATAATATTGGTGTACTTTTTCTGCACCGCATTTTTTTGGGTGTTGACCGTTTTATGATTACAAGTTTCACTTGAGTCCTATTTTTTTACTGTTATTAAATAACCTGTTTTATATTTTTCTTTTCTACTAGTGTGTGTTTTCTTGTACAGTGCCTAAAAAGCTAGATTAAATGTGAATTTTATTAATTTAGTTGTTCACCATAAACAAATCATTTAAAAAGCTATGGATTACCATAACTGCCCATGCATATTTATTTGAAATTATTCAAAATATACAGGAGCTGCATCACCTATTTCTTACATCCTATTCACAGGATATTTGGACAGGAATTAAATATAATGAAACCATTCTCTATTAATTTTCATGCAAATTAAATTGAAAGCATCATACAAATAGCAAATGGAAATATAAATAAATTATTCAAAACATACAAACCATGCTATAAAAACAGAATCTTGGTTACCTCAAACAGATATTATGTCATTTACGAAAGTTGGTTACTGTCAAATCACTAGATTTTAGCCTGAAGTGAGATTTAGGTATTTGCTAAAATTAAGTTCAGAGGAAACTTGGTAAATCTTACAAAATGAACACATCGTATTTAGTACAATCATATCTGTGTATGGTTTGCAATTCACAGGTGTGAATATAATACAAATTGCTTTTAGATTATTGTTATATTGTATTCACCACAATCTATTCTAGAATAATTTATCTGTTTATTTTTTTTTTTTTTTTGAGCAGGCAACTCTATAGAAATTGCCTATATTGGGTTAATAGTTAGAAAAGAAAACAAACTCCCAGACCCCCTATTTATCAATAGAAACATGGAGATCTGGTCCTGCATATTTCTACTTGTTACAGATAGTGTATAACAGTTAATAATGGAATGATTGTACAGCCATTGTGTTATTGATCCTCTCACCACCGTTTGTATAAGTGTATTTTTTTTACATTTCATTATTGGGGTATGTTGGATTCCTCTGTGGAGCTAATTATTTTTCTCATGATTTGTTTAAAATAGCGGATGTTGAGCATTCATAAGTATTCAAAGGAGAAATGCAAGGTGAAGCTATATAACAGAGTGTGTGTTTGTCACGATGCCAGGAGGTCAATTCACAAATGGTTTAACCCAAAAGTCAGTGTTCCATCCACATCCAGTGCTGCCCAAGACATGCACTATCTAGTTTATTTTTTGTTATTTCAGAAATCATTAGTTTGGGGGGTGGGGTGGGGCTAAGCAATCTAGCATTAAAATAAAGACTTTGAGGTTAAACTGTTCCTGAATAGTGATGTCCCGAACGGTTCGCCGAACGGTTTGCCGCGGACTCCAGTCAGCAGACACATTACAGCCAATCAGCAGCAGACCCTCCCTCCCAGACCTTCCCACCTCCTGGACAGCTCACTAAGAATGCAGCTTCAAAATGGATGCTGTCCAGGAGGTGGGAGGGTCTGCAGCTGATTGGCTGGAATGTGTCTGCTGACTGGAGTCCGTGGCGAACCGTTCGCGAACTGTTCAGTGAACCGTTCGGGACATCACTATTCCTGAATTGTTTAACTCTTAAAAGTGAGCCTGCACCAGGAACTTCCTGGCATCATAACAACTTCCTTTCAATGATGTTATGGTGTCCACTTTACAGTATATTTAAACACCATGGTCCAATTTTAGAGGAGAGATAATGTTAAGGCTCCATCTCTAGTTAAACAAATGTAAAAAACAGATACAATTCATATCTTACATTTTTTATTGGACTAACAGAATTTTGTTATGATAGGCTTTTGGGAGAACTTCCTTTTCTTAAGTCTAAAGCATTTCTGAGCAAAGATGACACATAGAATTCAAAGTAAGTTGTGTCACAGGGGTTAAAGTGACATGAGTGCAGATAAGATACAGGTTTAATAGAAAATAGACACCATTCTCACAAAGGGTCATAAATATCTTGTGGGGAGAGAGAAAAAAAACACATGCAAACAGTGCAGAAGACGGTGCTAGAAGGGGAGAGTAAAAGTATATATGTACATATTGGTAAACCTCACATGGTGAAAACTAGATGAAAGCCTTTTAAAGTATATATGAACACCATGGTCTAATTTTAGAGGAGAGCTAATGATAAGGCTCCATCTCTACTAAACATCCAAATGTACATATCGGTTAAATCCCACATGGTGAACACCAACTGAACACAGCATTACAGTCCAAGATAAAAGTACCTTTATTTCTTCATTTTAAAAATACATAAACTGTAGATCAAAGGGGGGACTATCACAATATCAAACCGGTATCATTGTCTTCTAAACTCAAGAGACATGTAAGAGATTGCTCCAATTTTCCAGTGTGGTGTTCACTCCTTAATCATCAGTTGATGTATTTTTTAAATGAAGAAATATAGGTCCTACAGTATTATTTATCTTGGAGGGTGGTGGTGTGTTCATTTGGCGTTCACCCGGTCTGTCTGACCAATATGTACATATGAGTATTCATAGGAGCTAAAATCCAATGGACAATGGTCTTTTATATCCATTCAGAAGCTGTCATGTTGAATTCAGAGAAATATAAATGCCGTGATAAATGTTCCAATACTTGCCTCCAAATGCCCCAGAATTGTTTTTTGTTATCAGGGGTAGATTAGATTTAGAGTTTAGTGCTTAAACTTGTATGTGTCGGAAATTGTCTAAAATCTATTATCATTTTATGTTTTGCCACAACAAATAATTTATATAGAGGACATTAAATAAAGCATTTAAATGGGAGTATAAAATTATAAGGTAATGTGTAATTAGAACATATTTGTTTTCTTCTCTTTAAAGATTTTAATAACCAAGGTAATAATAATTTTAATAATCAAGGTAAAGGAAACTGCCAAACTTCTGTAAACATATTTTATTTGCTTCTTGTCCTGTTTACCAATGCCAGCAGCACATTCTGAATCAGATACTGTTGTAAAGCGATTCATTTTTATGTTGACAACTCAGGAGGAAGCTATTTCTAGATTCTGTTTGGAGTGTTTCCATAATGAGTCCTATTGGACAACTTGTACAGTCTTGCTGACAATATATCTATGAGGCAAGAGAGTTGGTATGGCAACATTAATTAATATGCCACAAAAGTGAATGTTAAAATAAAACAGAACAGCAAAAACAATGCTCTCATGCTTCCAAATATAAGTGATTATTTCACTTATGAAAAGATTAAATGTAATCTTTTTTGTATTTAACCCCTCCATAAAATGGCTTTAACTTTCATGACTAGAGTAATTTCTACTTTATATTTGCTCAGCAGTAGCTTTTTCTTTCTACTTTTGTTTACCTGTACCCATTACATATTCAGTAATCAATTGATATTGATAATATTATACATATATATATTTTTAAATATCATGATCTGCTTGTTACTTTGGCAATTCATGTTTTAACATCTCACATTGGAATTTGTATCATCACATTGAGCAAAAAATACTGTATTCCAGGTACATATTCTACTTTGATATACATGTTCTCTGCTACCTGAGAATGACGGCATCCTCAATTCCCACCCTTTTGTTCGCATTCCAGCCATAGGAAAGAAAAACGCTATCTCCCCAGCAATTCTCCCAACATATAAATAAAGGGAGAGAGACAAATAATTAATGCAGTCAAGAATCTAAACTGCTTCCTGGGAGTATAATTCCTTACAATTTCCACCTGTCAAGACATATATGATGCATACCTGTGTGCGTACTTATGTACATGTACATATACACTGATCAGCCACAACATTAAAACCACCTGCATACGACTGTGTAGGTCCCCCTCGTGCTGCCTGTGAATGTTGAGAAAGTGTCTTAGCTCCTCAGCCAACATCTTATTCTTATATCAGCCACTTTGTGTACTTGAAGGGTTAAGTATGGACATGTCTTTGCTTCAAGTAGTTTTACAATAAACTGGGTTGTCAATTCAATTATCATAATGGAAACAGGTAAAGGTGGGTTATCAACTTAGGATGAATTGTCACCTTATGGTGATAGAGGAAGCTAATTACAGGGTACTGTGTTTTTATTGCATACATCAAGATACTGATGTTTTGTCTCTATGCTGTTCCTGGCGCATAAGCTGTGTTGTTTAAATGTATATTCGATATTTGTGTTTTATATAGAGGAAGGGCAGTGTTCTTTGACCCTCTCCTTGTGCACACACAATAAAGAAATCTGTTTATTCAACTTTTGTGTTAAGAACCTGTGTTTTACATTATTGAACATTTCACATGCCAGAGCAGGTCTGATGTGTAGAGTCAAGGAATCCACAAGACCTGAGAAAGTGTCCTGTGGTATCTGGCATCAAGGCATTAACACAAGATCCTTTAACAGCAAGTTGCAAGATTAGGCCATCATGGATTAGATTTGTTGTTCCAGCACATCCCACAGATTCTCAATCAGATATCAGAAATTTGGAGGCCAAGACAACACCTTTGTCATGTTCCTCTAACCATTTTTAACCATTTTTTGCAATATGGCAGGGTGTATTATCCTGCTGAAAGAAGCCACTACCATCAGGGAATACCATGAAGGGGTGTACATGGTCTGCAGCAATCTCATGGTATCTGTAAAAGTAGGATTCACATGAATGCCACGACCCAAGGTTTCCAGCAAAACTGCTGGCCTGTCTTCTTTCTATAGTGCATCCTGCTGCCATCTCTTCCCGAGGTAAATTACATACACGCATCATATCACGCACCATATCAGGCCATATACTGGATTTAAAACAAAATGTGATTCATCAGACCAGGCAACCTTCTTCCATTGCTCAATGGTCCAGTTCTGATGCTCATGTCACCATTAGAAGTTCTTTCCGTTGTGGACATGGGTCACCATGGGCACTCAAACCAGTCTGCAGCTATGCAGACCAATATGCAGCAAGCAGTATTGCAGACACACACACACATTCACTTAGAGGCACACATATTCACTGACAGACACACACACAGACAGTGATACTGACAAACTCACAAATTATTATTTTTTTAAATTTTAATTAAAGAGCTGGAAGAGCTGGAGTGGATTATTTCCCTGGAGTCCAGTGTGGAGTTGTTTTGATTTTCTGGCTCTACTCCTAGTGATGTCGCAAACGTAACATTTTCGGTTCGCGAACGGCGAACTTCCGCAAATGTTCGCGAACCGGCAAACTGGGCGAACCGCCATAGACTTCAATAGGCAGGAGAATTTTAAAACCCACAGGCACTCTTTCTAGCCACAATAGTGATGGAAAAGTTGTTTCAAGGGGACTAACACCTGGACTGTGGCATGCCGGAGGGGGATCCATGGAAAAACTCCCATGGAAAATTACATAGTTGATGCAGAGTCTGGTTTTAATCCATAAAGGGCATAAATCACCTAACATTCCTAAATTGTTTGGAATAATGTGCTTTAAAACATCAGGTATGATGTTGTATCGATCAGGTAGTGTAAGGGTTACGCCCGCTTCACAGTGACAGACCAAACTCCCTGTTTAACACACCGCAAACAACCGCAAACAGTCCATTTGCACAACCGCAAACTCCCCATTTGTCCCGTTCCTTGTCCTCACTGATGTCATTGAAGGTCTCTTCCTCCACCCAGCCACGTACAACACCAAGGGTCCCAAAAAGGTGACAACAAGCCCCCTTGGATGCCTGCTGTGTTTGGTCTTCCACCTCCTCAAAGCCACCTTCCTCCTTTGACTCCTCTTTTTCAGACTCCTCTCTCTGCATTGCCTCTCTCTGCATTATTATAAGGCATTCTTATCAGTTTAATCCCTGTTACGTCCCCTATCAGAGGACGTGTATATGGCATCGATTTTGGGAACCGGGAGATGGAAAAAGATGCTTGGTCGGTCCTCCTTCTTCAAATTTGGGGCACTGCGCGTGCAATCTAATGTGTCACCAGATAGGAGTGGTGTGTTAAGTAGTACTATTCTTATCAGTTTAATCCCAATGTCACGACTACTAGTGTGGTCCAGCACGCAGAAACTATGTAAACATATACATAGGCAAGAAAAGGAAAATAAAAGGACAGAGCGTAAACCGGACCTTAGAATGGCCAGACTAATACGCTAGAGACAGAAAATGGTCAAAGGGAAAGCCGAGGTCAAGGAAGCCAGAAAATACACAATACCATTTACACAAGCCAAGTCAGGGAAACCAGAATTCAGAATAACCAGGGAAAAGCCAAGATCAGGATACCAGGAAATCAGATTCACAATGATAAAGCACTCTCAGGAAACCAGGAACAGGAAACCACGACAGGGAAAGGTACTGGGGTGAGCTAGGGATTTAAATATCACGCGGCGGGCCGGCAGCCGCGACACCCTGTTACGTCCCCCTCATCAGGCCTTTTTTAGTCGAATGTATCGCCCACTGTCAGTCCCTTCGGGATCCATCCCTCATTCATCTTAATAAAGGTGAGGTAATCTAGACTTTTTTGACCTAGGCAACTTCTCTTCTCAGTGACAATACCTCCTGCTGCACTGAAGGTCCTTTCTGACAGGACACTTGAAGCGGGGCAGGCCAGAAGTTCTATCGCAAATTGGGATAGCTCAGGTCACAGGTCAAGCCTACACACCCAGTAGTCAAGGGGTTCATCGCTCCTCAGAGTGTCGATATCTGCAGTTAAGGCAAGGTAGTCTGCTACCTGTCGGTCGAGTCGTTCTCTGAGGGTGGACCCCGAAGGGCTGTGGCGATGCGAAGGACTAAAAAAGCTCTGCATGTCCTCCATCAACAACACGTCTGTAAAACGTCCTGTCCTTGCCGGCGTGGTCGTGGGAGGAGGAGGATTACTTTCACCTCTTCCCCTGTTAGATTCCCGTTGTGCTGTGACATCACCTTTATATGCTGTTTAAAGCATACTTTTTAATTGATTTTGGAACTGCTGCATCCTTTCCGACTTGCCGTAATTCGGTAACATTTCAGGCACTTTCTGCTTATACCGTGAGTCTAGTAGCGTGGACACCCAGTACAAGTCGTTCTCCTTCAGCCTTTTTATACTAGGGTCCCTCAACAGGCACAACAGCATGAAAGACCCCATTTGCACAAGGTTGAATGCCGAGCTACTCATGTCGTGTTCCTCATCCTCAGTGATCTCACTGAAGGTATGTTCTTCCCCCCAGCCACGTACAACACCACGGGTACCAGATAGGTGACAACGAGCACCCTGGGATGCATGTTGTGGTTGGTCTTCCTCCTCCTCCTCAAAGCCACATTCCTCCTCTGACTCCTCTTCCTCACAATCCTCTTCCAGCGTTGCCGCAGGTCCAGCAAGCGATGCTGATAAGGCTGTTTCTGGTGGTGATGGTGATGGTCTTCCTCTTCCTCTTCACGCTCATCTACGGCCTGATCCAGCACTCTTTGCAGGGCACGCTCCAGGAAGAAAACAAATGGTATGATGTCGCCGATGGTGCCTTCGGTGCGACTGACTAGGTTTGTCACCTCCTC